TATATATATATTTCGATCCTGAGAAAATAAGAGTTTTTACATTAGATCATTAATTAAATAATTATATGAATGAAAACCTGTGGAATGATAGGAGTGCGTTTGAAAATCTTATCCATAAGATAGAGTAGTGTTTTTAATTGACCAATCAGAATGAAGAAATCTTTGCTTCTTTTTTCTGATTGGCCAATTAAACACCATTTCATCCTACGGGCAAGATTTCCGAACGCACACACCCTAGAATTTGAAGTACGAAGTCTCGATACTTTATGTGAAAACGGGGGCGAAAGGCGAGAGTTATCTGACATTTGACTTGATTTGACATTTTTTAATGTCAAACTCGTGAGCCGCATAATGAATCGCAATACATTGTCATAACAGTAGAGATTATTGAGTATAGTATAATATAATAATATATATATATATAACATAATAATAATATATAATATTATATAATATTATTATTGTATATAGTATTATTTATACTATCACTAATAATCTAGAAAAAATAGTTTGGTATATACAAAATATGACAGAGATAGAATGGTAGGGGCATTATTTATGTTAAAGTATTGTTATTGTATATAAGAGCTGTTATTACTTTATGTTGTTTTGGAGAAATAAATCTTTTTGGTCTCACAAAACACGAGCACAAGAACATGCATGAGTATACTTTAGTAGTTTTTATATATTATATTATACAAAAATCTTTGTTACAGGATCTCAAAACCTATGGAGTATGGAACTGTAAAGTTTGCATGTTTAGAGGAAGTTGTAGATCATCCGTTGAAACCGGTCGTAATCACTGTAAGATGTAGTTTTAGTAGTACAGTTATTAGAGTATATCTTGCATAAATGCACTTTTTAATATTGTATATTAAATTATATTTTTCACATACACATATAAATATAATTTTTATAGAAACAAGTTTTTGTGTTTCTCTTTTTATATAGTTAATTGATGGACGTAACTCAACTAGGCGCAATGTGTTACGAAGTACAAGTTCCTCTACCGGAATACCAACACCAACGCACACACCAGTTCCTACAAATCCACTGAGCGATCCATTGCTAAGCCATTCTTCTCTTGATGGCTCTGATCCTCTTACACAGTTTGCTCGAGAAGAACTCGATCCTCTTTCCAAAATGGCTGCCGATGAAGTAATATATAATCCTCTGGTACTTTTATAAATATTTGATAATTTTTTACAATGCATATTTATTATTTGTTGCAGTGGGATTATTCTAATGTTGCACTTGTTAGTAAAAAGTTAAAGGATACAGCAGAAGAATTGGTTGAGCCATGGTCTGTTAGACGCTCAGCTATATTGAGCAAATACACAACTTCTGAAAAATTATCAATTGTTACTAGTTTCTTATCAGGTGGAGAAAAAGGTGCTTACTTTTTCAAGATGCATTTGTGAGAATCAATTTAATTTTACAAAAGAAAAGAAATAGCCTAATTATTTAATATTTAAATATAGAAATTTAAATATACATTCTCTCTTTCTCTAGTTGGATTTAAATATATCATAGTTTTATCACAGTTGTAGTGAAAGTCCAGCCAAGTGGATCAATGGTCGACAAAGTAAAAACGCGACTCGAACAATTGGATGATTTCGAGGAAGGATCTGTAAGACAAATGTTAGACTTATCACAACAGCAGTATACTGCGCGAATCGAGCAATTGAATAACGAACTGGTACAAGCATGGCATTCCGATCAAAGAGTAAAGGCACTCAAAATCGCAATACAGGTTCTTATCCGTTTATTTAATCCTTGTAATATAAGGCTTAAACTGAAGCTTTACAAGAGAGAATATATATGGAATTAATGCGAAATTATTTTTTAGTGTGCCAAATTATTAGTAGATACATCTGTAATGGCTTTCTATCCAAGCAAGTTTGTTCTTATCACAGATATATTGGATATCTTTGGGAAGCTTGTGTATGAAAGATTGAAAATGAAGGCTGAATACTACAAGTAATTATCATACAAAGAAATTCTTATTTTTTAGAACTGCATGTATTTTATATTTTTTTTATTTTATTGTCGCACAGATGTTATTGTACTTTATTTCTAATGGCAACGTTTTTTTTCAGACCAGGAAGTAAAGTACCTACGAGCTTACCCGACAATTTTACGCCTGATATGGTTCCCGAGAATGCAAAAGAAACGTGTCGCAATTGGTTTTATAAGATAGCCTCTATACGAGAACTGGTGCCGCGTTTGTATGTAGAAATGGCGATAATAAAATCTTATAGTTTTTTGACGACAAGGTAAGAATCTCACTTATAATATCGTGAAAGAGTTTAAACTATTAAAATTACGAATGTATTTTATTTTAGCGAATTTAACACTGCTCTATTACGCATAACTCATATGGTAAGAGGAATCGGGAATCCATTGATAGCGGTTTACGCGAGATGCTACTTATGTCGCGTGGGATTGGCATTGAACAAAACGTCAGATTTTGAGTTTGTACGGGAGAATTTCTACGACTTTCTTTTTACATACCAGCAGCTATTTGGGCCTGCTGTGAAGAATGAACTAGTGAAGCAGAATCTCACTCTATATTCCTATTTGAATCTCTATTTACCGGCGTTGGATTGGATCGTACAGGTCTTGGTAGCAACATCACCCGAGAGTCTTCTCGAGGAAATTTTATTTCGCTGTAAAAAACAAGAGCATGGGTAAATATATATTTTAAATATCTTTAATTCATCTTTAATTCATCTTTAATCTCGCTTTTAGTTACTTCGATACATATATATATATCTTTTTTTCAGATCATTATTATTAAACACAGTATTGACTGCATTTAAACCGACGTATATTGCCGCACGCGCCATGGACTTTGTAAATTTAATAGTATCGAGCGAAGACAACGGTATCGAGATTAAAAGATTAAGCGAAAAATATAACGATACATATATTTGATTTAAAAGGTGTTAACTTTTCCTTTCAACATTTCGGTAGGATATCCTCAATATCTACTGTATAGAAGTTTAGGAGAGTGTCTTGTACGAGAATCTCCGCCGAAAGAAGACTGTCAATCAGTGCTTAATGTAATATGGAAGTACATAACGGATCTCACAGACCCTAACAAATTTATGCATTGCATCGAGATCTGGATCCAATTTACTGTCATACATTTTTCTGTAAGTTTATATAATAACACTCTTTATTATATTAAATTAGATTATTATAATACGCATATATTACAGGTAAATGAGCTCAATTTGTTTTTTGGTAAAATAATAGACCACCTACGACCAAACAAAACTTTTGAAAACTATTATCCGCAATTGCAGAACATTATTGAGAAGATAATCGCCCACACACAAGATTTTGAGTCATTGCTTGCTATGGTACCGCGCGCTTTAATCATATATTCGTATTTATTTATTATAAAGCAGCCACTTTAAAATATTGAATTAAGCATTGATTTCACATTTACGTTTTAGGACAATTTTTTGCCTCTAATTGACTTGTTTCACAAGGAAAGTATTAAGGTTGAGGTTTGTAAAACTATTATAGAAGGATTGAGTGCGCAGAATGGACCCATTACAGATCCTATTATCATAAATGCTCTAATGTTTATCGCAAGGATTATGCACGACTCTGTTAGGTATGTCAATTTATTTTTGTATGCTATATTCCGATTTCTAAAACTTAATAAATCTGCGCAGTGCTTTGACTGTCGAAGATGAGAAACGACAGATCGGACAATTAATATGCGGTTTGGTGCAACGAGTAGATTATGGTCGTGATTTTGAGAAGCAGCTTAGTTTCTATGCAGAGGCCAGAGCGGCGTTTCCTAATCTTGATAGTGTTCATATACAACTTGTACAGGTATAATGTACATATTAAATTGTCCTTTCTGTTTTACAATTCTAATCAATATGTTGATTTTACTCCAATTTTCTGTATTTGTATTCAGTGTGTAAATAGATTATCAGTCGATACTAGGAAGATAGTGCGCGGTCATCACACAAGAAGAACGTCGGCATTTGTGCGCGCCTGTGCTGCGTTCTGTTTCATCACTATACCCTCATTAACTTTGGTTCATACACGTCTTCAATTATATCTTTTGTCCGGACAAGTTGCTCTCTTGAATCAATGTCTAGGTCAAGGTGTGAGTCGAATTAATCTTTCTAATATTTAATATATTGTTCTTTTGATCTTTCTCTGATCTTTTTCTAATCTTTACTTTTTTACATATGTAAACGGACATTTTTCAGCCGATGCTTGCTTCAAGGCCGCTTTAAGTTTGGTTCCCGAAATGCCTAAAACCATCGACATCGATGGAAGACAGAAAAGTTCACAGTCATATTTGCTCTCATACTTATCGAATTTCTTGTCAACATTGCTAGTAGTTCCGGTATGTATATCAACATGCATTAAAAGTCGATTTTATAATAGAGAGATTACTTTACTATATTAGGACAGCCCAGAACACGGCGTCTTGTATTTGATGAGAGGTTTGCTCAACGCGGTGCAACGTTGTTTCGAGGAAAATACCTCAATCAAGCCATATTTGTATTTACGTGTACTCGATCTTCTTTCAACTGTAGCACAGGAAAATTATCCCTATCATATTGACAAGGTAATTTTATGCTTTTGTGCATTTGAAAAGATAAGTAAATAGTTGCAACATTTATTTCTACAAAGTTAGAATAAAGAAATTAATTAGTAATTAAGATATCACATGATAATGGCATTTTAGGTTGATTCAAATGATAAATTATATGGATCTGATCAGAAATTTATTGGCGAGGTCAATAAAATTTGTTCCAAAATCGTTGAGGAAATATTGAGTCATCTCAAATATCTTGGATCTACCGAGCAATTCAACAAACAGTCGGCTCTGGCACTTGAGCTATTTAATTGCTTTGTTACCCGTGCAGATTTACGAGATCCTGCATTGGCAAATATGGCTGTAAATTTGTGGAATTTATCACAACGACATGGTTCGGTGGATCCTAAAGTGACAGTAAATACATATTTACAATATAATCAGGATTTCAATATTTTATGCAATAGTTTTGCTTTTTAATTATTTCATGAATTCTTTCTTAGATGAGAACAAAAGCTTACATGACGCAGAAGAGTCATCATCGAGAATACGGGCATTTTGCTGATATACTCACGAAAATATCGAATTATCGACAATAGAATACACTTTAAACACTTTTTATTGGCAGTTTTTTTCGAAAGACGTTTTATTATTGTGCAATAAACTTGCCAGCTATCAAGTCGTTCAATGAAGCAAATAATAGCGAAAAAGGAACAGAAATGATAAGTTATAATGTTAATATAGCATTATTTTATATCATCTTTTCTAAATTATAGCAAATATTATATGAAGTGCGAAATATTTAAATAATTGACATAACAATTTATATTCTTACACAATAAAAACATCACTTAATGAATTCCAGAATCGTCAAAAAATACATTCTCGCTTAAGTGTTGCACAATTTTTTTGAAACATTTTGTACATGTGTTGATTAATCTGTATATATGCATATATATTTACACACAAATGAATTAAATTGATTAATTTATCATGTTGCAGTATTATTAATTCATCATTTGTCATTTTTATAAAGTTATGTTTTTCTTATAATTCGATGTTATATAAAAGTAATGAATATTTTTTATTCTGTACATCGCAATACGCCTACTATAATGGAAGATGTCTGATTTAAAAGACACTATAAACCATTAAATTTACCCTTATTATTTCAGTACAGATTGAAGCGCATCCAAAAATATATCAGCATGACGCTCTGTAAAAGTTAATGCAGGTCTCAATCGCACAGACTGGTTGCCACATCCACCTGCCAAGATACCTAGTAAAAATACGGAAAATATGAAAACATGAGAGATTCTCTTAATGGTTACATTTTACGTTACGATCACATCTTACCTTTGGTTGCAAGTTTCTTGATGATGGTGTCTCGCATTTCAGGAGAGGCGCAATTAAACGCTATGAAAGTTCCACGTCCACGCACTGCGCTGATGACACTGGAATGGTCCTTTTGTATACTTGTTAAATGCTTCAGAATGTAGTCACCAACACGCGTAACTCTATCCAAGAGATTCTCCTTCTTAATGATCTCCAAAATCGCTTCGAGCAGTATTACTTTACTTGGATCACCCATCCAAGTATTGAACACGCGATATGGTAATTTCGGCCTGCGATATGCAGCACACAATTAATCGTTAATAGTTTTTAACATTGTTATTGTTTTTGATATGCCAAAAAATTTACTTTAAGTCATCCGAGTGATAATAACCGCCTAATTGCATTTTCTTGCTGAAAGTCATCACGTCTGGTGGGGTATCTAGATTAAAATGCTCGTGACACCACATTTTTCCCGTTGGCCCGCAACCAGTCTGGACCTCATCGATAAGCAACGCTGCTCCGTGCTGAAATATTTTAATGCAAAGTCGTAACATCCTTCTTAATGCAAGTTGAGATATAATTACTTCGTAAACTGCACTTTACCTGTCGCGTTATGCGTTGAAGTTCCTGAAAGAATTCGGGCGACGCGTGATTGTCACCGCCTTCCGATTGAATAGGTTCGATAATTACACCAGCCACTGGTACCTTCTTTTCATTCTTGTACTTTTCGAATAACTCTTCGACCTGAAATATCCGTTAAGTTTTAAAGATCTTCTCTTGTATATGTAAAATATTCACAGAAATACTTAAGAATTGTGATTAGACCAATTACCTCCGCGAGGCAACGTTTATCTTCCTTTTGATTTTCTCGCATGTTCTCATCCAAAGGATATTTGTATTTTGGAAAGGAGGCGATGGGCCAGTCGAGAGCTGGTACATCTATTTTGTGAATGTACTTGCTGTGAGTCGTTGAGAGACAAGCTAAGGTTCTTCCATGGAAACTACCTATCGATATTAAATAGTTCATAAATATCATTCATAACAAGATTTATATTCTTGCACGGTTGATTGAGTGATATATTGCACCTTTAAAGGACATAATGGAATATCGCGGCGAGCCAGGAATTTGATTCATCATGCATGTCTCCATCTCTTCCTTCGTGAATGGTTTTCCTTGTCTTTGTTTCTCGGCATACCAAATAAAGATATTTTTAAAAGCATTTTCATTAGAACAAGAACCGCACATCATTGTCGTAATGTGCGACAATCCGGGTGGAGCAATCTGTCAACAATAATAATTCGATAACTCGATATAATTCGAATAAATTAAATATATAGGAGAATAAATTATAGTTAAAACATTTATCAGATACCTTCCTGTTAAGTAGAACATTTTTTAATCTGTTAGGCCAATCTTTTCCCGGAAAGTTTCCCAGTGCAGGTCTATTTGCTATAATTTTCTGAAAAGAAACATAAGGCTTCAATGTTTTTTATACAGTTCAGACATTGTGCATATGACGCGAAATGATTTGTAAGATGAACAAATTTTATTTTCGAAAGCTTATCAAGTATTGTTAGAGCGGTATAGATTTATTATTTAAATAGGGTGTATTCTGTAAAGAAGAAATTAGCATGACAATTGTACATGTATATGAAAAAAATCCGATGTTTTTTTTGCGGTGGAGCGGTTTTATATCACTCACTTGATTAATAGGATCGTTAAGAGCCTCCAACATCGCCGGATGATTGTATCCTAAGGGCATTGTCGAGATTTGCATATAAACGTCCAGCAACGTGTTTCCGTCAATATCTATTATGTAATTACCGGAAGATTTTTCGTAGTCTGCGAAGAATTGTACGGAAGATGCTTGCTAAAGTCACACAAATTTCAACATTGTAACTTATTTCGTTTCTGCTGTACATATTTACAAAAGATTATATATTATTATCAATGTATGTATAAGCTTGAATTTTATATATCGATGTATTCAATAATAATGTACATAAATCGCTACTGAATGAAAATTCAAAGAACAACTTCAGAAACATATTTGTAAATTAAATTACACGATTATATTATTGCTGTTAAATCAACAGTATCTGACATACTTGTATCGTATTCAATTCTTGTAACAGACTACGCGATTGTGGACCCGGTATTTCCGTCCTAACCACCGGCCCTTCCGGTTCCTTCGACACTGAACTTATATAGCATCTCTTCCACGTTGTTGAAACGCCTGTACATCGATATTATATTCTTATTCTTCAGCATGTATGCATGCTCTTTCTCTATATAAATATGTGTATATATCTTATATAAATATATTTCGCTGGATCGTTGGATTTGTATGCAGGAAGATAATTTAACTCGCTGATTCGTCCAACAGCTCTGACGATTAGCTTTATTGACACCAGTTAAAAATGATTGCTTGATATATTACTGCAATTTTGCATTTTAACCCCTCGCAAATCACGAAGTTACAATGAAATACGAGTGACGATGCGTAATATAAAATAAAAATAAGAAATATAAAGATTATGTAACGGTATAACGGTTTCTATGACGGACAATATTGAGAACTAAGGATTTTCACATATTAAAAGTATTTTAGAAGGAAGCAAATTTTCTCTCGATGTTCAGTGATAAACATTTGGTGCTCATTTATATTGATATGAATATTTACGCGTATCAATATCTATTAATTTTACTATCAAGATTAAAATATAAATATTAATTGTTAATTAAACTTTATTATAATGATAATCCATGAATTCATTTATTACAACATCGATTAAAATTTTAATTTTTAGACAATTCTGTTTGTTCAACTTTGCAATTTTGAAAAAAATTGCATATAGGTAATTTAAAATTATAATATCGCTACAAATTCAAAATTGACATAAAAATATCTTTGACATTAAATATTGTTTTTTAAGCGGTATGCTACTTATACAATAAATAAAATTTTAGATAAGATAACGATAAGTATATCGTTAGATATATCGAAATTAATAATACACGCAAAAAAGCTATCTATTAGAGATATAATATCAAAGATATATGTGAAAGTATCAATATATTGCATACATAATTTTAAGATAACAAAGTACTTGGAGTCGAAATGAATTTATAGATTTTATTATGATCTACAACATCCGCAACAGAGCGGCGTCTATCATCTAATCAGTTTTTATGATTTCCATGTCAATTTAGTATATTAAAGTTTGATAAGAGAAACAAATTGGTAAATACCGTTTAACAGCTGTCGAAGCGAAATCTGCGCATTCAGCGCACGATGACACTTGTTAACTATCATCTCCGTTCGAGATAAAAGCACGAATACGAGGTTTGATCTCCGCGATGTTCTCTGTAGAAGAGATAATGCCGTACTAACCACTGATACGCGCTGATAGCGTACGTTTACCTAGTGCAAAGAGCTGACAATTTCAGGAGGGAAGGGGGGTGGGAAAAGAGTTTATGAATAGTCGTTTCTGCTTAAAGAGAACTATTCTCGTATCACTCTTCGATTTAGAATCGCGAATTTATTAAAATGTTGAGTTCCACAAGTATCGATGTTCTCGGTGTATTCCAAAGTGATGATAAATAAACATTTGCAATAATCACAGGATTTAGATATTTTACGTATGGTTTCATTTCTGCGCTCTTTAATCATTTCTTTGTAGATAAGGATAGAAAGGCTTATATATGTGTATGACACAAGAGTCATCATCGAAAATGAACATTTTGGTATACACATAATATACTCAGGAAAATGTTGAGATAAATAATATTGGAGCTTATCAATAACATGAAACATAGCTCAAACATTTTTTATTGGCAGTTCTTTCGGAAGACATTTAATGATCGTGCAACAAATTATCTGGTTTCATTAATCAAGTCGATTAATGAAATAAATAATAGCGAAAGAGCAAAATATAAGTTATAATAATTAATTCTTAACTTAGCATAATTTTATAGCATTTTTTAAATTATAGAAAATACTGTACGAAATGTTTAAATAACTAATGTAACAATTTATGTTCTATGCAATAATAATGCATATCAATCAATTCTAGAATCGTCAGATATACATTCTCGCTGCATTTTGCACCACTGCATCATTTCTTAAAAGTTATATATAAATTGTTAGCCATAATGCAACTGCCATATAAAAATAATGAATGTATTTTTAACTCCGTATACACATCTCCGTACATACATTTCCGTAACCATTCTTTAATGCACGACATCTGATTTGGAAGACATTTGACATGGAAGACATTTGATATGGAAGACATTTGACTCGAAAAACACGAAAAACCGCAGAGTTTACCCTTATTCTTTTAGTACAGAACGAAGCGCATCCAAAAATATATCAGCATGACGTTCTGTGAAAGTTAACGCAGGCCGCAGCCGCACAGCTCGGTTACCGCAACCACCTACCTGAATACCTAACAAGGATACGAAAAACTTGTAAGCTTGAGCTATATTTTTAGCGTTTACACTTTATGTTACGATACCACCTTACCTTTGGCTGTAAGTCTCTTGATGATGGCATCTCGCATTTCAGGCGAGGTACAATTAAACGCTATGAAAGTTCCACGTCCACGTATCGCGCTAATTATACTGGAGTGTTCTTTTTGTATATCCGTCAAATTCTTCAGCATATAATCGCCAACGCGCGTGACCCTATCCAAAAGATTTTCCTTTTTGATGATTCCCATGATCGCTTCGAGCAGTATCAATTTACTTGGATCGCCCATCCAAGTATTGAACACGCGATACGATTGTTTCGGCCTGCAAAGAAAGTGGCAATTAATCGTCAATAATCTTTTAATACGTTACCGTTTTGGTCATGAAAAATATTTACTTGAAATCCTCCGAGTGATAATAACCGCCTAATTGCATTTTCTTGCTGAATGTCATCACGTCTGGTGGGGTATTCAAATTGAAATGCTCGTGACACCACATTTTTCCCGTTGGCCCGCAACCAGTCTGGACTTCGTCGATAAGCAACGCTGCTCCGTGCTGAAATATTTTAATGCAAGGTCGTAACATCCTTCTTAATGCAAGCTGAGATATGATTATCTCGTGAGCTGCACTTTACCTGTCGCGTTATGCGTTGAAGTTCCTGAAAGAATTCAGGCGACGCGTGATTGTCACCTCCTTCCGCTTGAATAGGTTCGATAATTACACCAGCCACTGGTACTTTCTTTTCGTTCTTGTACTTTTCGAATAATTCTTCGACCTAAAATATCCGTTAAGTTTTAAAGACCTTTTTTTGTATGTATAAAATATTTACAGAAATACTTAAGAATTGTGATTGGACCAATTACCTCCGCGAGGCAACGTTTATCTTCCCTCTGATTTTCTCGGACGTTTTCTTCTAAAGGATATTTGTACTCTGGAAAAGAGGCGATAGGCCAATCAAAAGCTGGTACATCTATTTTGTGAATGTATTTGCTGTGAGTCGTTGAGAGACAACCCAAAGTTCTTCCATGGAAGCCACCTACCGATATCAAATATTTTGTAAAAAAACATTTATAATTAGATGTCGACTTGTTTTTGCTCGAATTGATATATTGCACCTTTAAAGGACATAATAGAGTATCGCGGCGAGCCAGGAATTTGATTTATCATGCATGATTCTATCTCGTCTTTCATGAATGGTTTTCCTTGTCTTTGTTTTTCAGCGTACCAAATAAAGATGCTTTTAAAAGCATTTTCATTAGAACAAGAACCGCACATCATTGTTGTGATATACGATAATCCGGGTGGAGCAACCTGTCCAGAATAATAATTTCGATTCAAGCGGCGCGATGAGAGATAAGTCAAATAGGTTTATTAGATACCTCCTTGTTGAGCAGAATATTCCTTAATTTATTAGGCCAGTCTCTTCCTGGAAAGACACCTAACGCAGGTCTGTTTGCTATAATTTTCTGAAAAAGAAAAAGGAAAAAACATTATCGTTAAATATTTTTTATATAGCTCGAATGTGTCCTGTATGTAACGTAAACAAAATTCGTACATATTCTAAGAAATGCGGCTCTTAAAAGATGTTCTAAGAAATCTGGATTATTCAAGGAAACTTATCAAGACCTGTAAGCTATGCAGTTAAAATTTAAGTGATGTGTCCTGTAAAAGAGATTAGCATGCAAATTGTGTATGTGGAAAAAATCCGGTGCTCCGCGCCAAAGCGGCTTTATATCACTCACTTGATTAACGGGATCGGCGAGAGCCTCCAACATCGCCGGATGATTGTACCCTAGGGGCATTGACGAGATTTGCATATAAACGTCCAGCAACGCGTTCCCGTCAACATCCATTATATAATTACCGGAGGATTTTTCGTAGTCTGCGAAGAATTGTACGGAAGATGCTTGCTGAAGTCACAGATGTTAACATTGTAACCCGTTTCGTTTCTCTTTAGCGTACATATAATATTTATGAAAGATTTTACGTATTATTTTCAATGTTCAAACATATGCGCTTCAATTTTACGTATTTAAATAATAGTAAAATATGTAAATCACTGTTGAATTCCAATTCAAGACGAATTGTTAGAAACATAATCGTAAATTCAATATATAAATTTTATGATACTATATTCTTATTGATTTAAGTCAGCATCTGACGTACTTGTATCGCATTCAATTCTTGTAGCAAGCTTCGAGACCGAGGACCCGGTATTTCCGTCATAATTACCGGCCCTTCTGGTTCTCTCGACACTGAACCGGTTAAGCATCTATTCCACGTTGTTGCGACGCCTGCACAATGATAATATTACAATCTTGTACTTAAGCATGTATATTCTTATTTCACTATAAATATCTATATATCTATATAAATAAATTTCTCTCTGCATTTTTGAATCTTGAGCTAGTGTGGATTGAAGAATGTTTATATAAGAAATCACACTTAACTATAGTTAATTCGTTCAACAGATATGATGTTTAGTTTCATTAACGTCTATTAAAAGAATGCCTAATATATCATTGCCATTTTAAACCACTTGCGGGTTTCAATGGTATAAGATACAGGATATACGGGCGTATAAAATAAAACATGAATAGAGAAAATACAGATTGTATACTTTTTCCAACATCAAATAGATAGAATATTGGACAGCAAAAATTAATTTGTTTTCTCGAAATAATAAAAATATATTTCGAATATTATTTTTCTCTCTTTCTCTCTCTCTCTCTCTCTTTCTCTTCACATATACAGCGGGATAAAAAAAGGATTTTTATAGCTCATCTTATTTGGAATAATTTTATATAAAACAGAAATATATATATATATATATATATAATGGCCAAGTGTTTCTGTCAAAATATCTTATGTTTTTATTTCTGTATCAAGCAAATGTCAACATATTTGTATTCATAACGTGTTTATTACTTTAATTTAATCTGTTGTTGAGGATTCGAAAGATGTTGAGCTCATTCGATACTCGTATATATTTATGTGAATATTTATCAATCAATATCTATTAATTCTACCATCAAGATTAAAACATGAATATTTATCATTAAAAGTTTATCGTTAATCAAGCTTTACTATAATAATCCATAAATTCATGAAACATCTTTCGATAAAACATTTTCACAATTTCAATTTTGTGACAATTCTTCTTGTTAAAAAGAAAATTTATAATTTGGGACACATTTTATAAAGCCGGTTTAAAATTAATATTGCAACATTCAAGATTGACACAAAAATATCTTCAAAAGTAAATATTGTTTTTTAGCTGCGCGTCTCTAAAATTTCAGATAAGATAACGGATGTGTCGAAATTAATGATACGTGTGTAAAGCCACGTACAAAAAATACAGTGTCAATTCAATACTCTGTGATAAAAAATGCATATAGGCAAATTAATGTATTAATTCTGTCGATATTTTTGGATCGCGTTATTCTATAATATAGAGCTTTAAAATTCGCGAGGCAGTAGAGCAGCTGGAGCCGGGACAAATTTATCGATTTTGTCGTGGTCCATACAGCATCCGTAACAGAGCGGTGTGTTTCCCGATGTTCGGTTCTCATAATACGATATATGAATTTATACAAACGTTCAACGAGAGAGGAACGAACTAAGATAAATACCGTTTAGCAGCTGCCGAAGCGAGGTCCGCGCCTTCAGCGCACGATGACACTTGTTAACGATCATTTCTGTCAGAGATGGGAGCGCGGATACGAGGGCTGCTCTCCGCGACGTCGTCACTGCGGAAGGGATGGTGCCGTACTGGCCGCTGATACGCGCTGATAGCGCATGAAAAGAGAGAGAGCCGAGAATCCCGCTGAGGGCGCGAGTTACGCACGAATTGTCGCTTCTGCTCAGAGATATTTTTTATTCTATCGTTGGTAAAATTTTGAATTTATTAGAATGCCATATAATGCTACAGATATAGAAATTCCTTCCGACATTTGGTAAAAAAAATAGACCTTTTAGTGACAGATATTCGACGGTACGTAAAAGTTATCGAAGGTAAAAAAAATGTCGAACTCTCTTCGTGACGGCTTGACTGCGAAAGTAGTTGCTGATTAATGGGAGGTATCAAATTGTCGTTCCTGCTTACACAACTGTCTGTCTGTCTGTCTGTTACACCGCCAACAAATACCGTTGCGCTTCGTGTCAGGAATAGTACTGCATTTTCAGGGATTCCATCCGTGGCGCGGCCACGAGATTTGGTGCAAGTGAAAGTACATTTTTGGACTTTTTCCTTATAGCTTATGTTATCATTTAGATCTGTAACGGGATTATCATTCCCGAGAAATCCTTTATTCTTTATTATTATTTATGTACATCTATGTTTATATGTTATCATAGTTCAGTCTACTAAATCATATAGGATAATTAATTCGACATTAATTAAAAGAAAGCATGAGATTCTGTTATGTCATATATACATATATTATTCACAAGAATCATTGTTAAATTTCGGCGATTGCAAGCGTTATTTTTCAACTTTCGCTAATAATATACATGTTATAATACATATACATAAATATATATGCATCCATTATATACTTTTTTTGTTTGGGCATGTATTCTTAATATATACAGTTCAAAGTACCACAGTATTTGTAGTGCGCTTGACCTCATTACAAATGACAGAAGGCAAACAATCGATTACGATCGCCGTCGTCTCGAGATGGAGAGTATAAAGGAATCGGACAGGTTTTTCGATGAAAGCAATGAATCGATCTCGTCGTCAGTCAGGTGATATCTTACTTGGCGATCCAAGAGAATATACCTCCTCTTATTTTTTTTTGCGACTCCGACAGACTCGAGAAATGCAAGCGATCGTTTCGTCAGGAAAAATCGACACGATACTCATCGATCATCCGCGTGAATTAATTCGATTGATTTTCCAGTTTCCGCTCGGATTCGTCCCCACTATAATGCGGGCCCACATCCGACTTACTTGGAAACCACGCCTCGAGACCTTTTGCCCACAAGGTGGAGAGGTGGTCATGTTTTTGGGCACCTCGGGCCGCACGCAGCGCACGCGTATTGTCACTCGCGCGAACGCACTCGAGTGGGCCCCGTCCGATCTCTACCGCGGGATCGTCTTTTCCCGGGTGACATCCAATATCCGCGAAAGAGAGAACGCCCTTTTGAAACGACCAAACTTCGTCTACCTGAGGAAGACCTAATCGTCAGGCTGACCACGTGCACTCTGTGGGTTGTGTGAGTATAATTGGTTTACGGTACCGATACACTTTGCATGCGTAATTCGCAACTCCGTTAATGCGCTGCGAAAGAGATCGAGAATATGACCGGTATTCGTAGAATTAGGTCAATGTCGCGCATAAATTCCCGAAATCTATGTAAAAATTTGATAACCGATTATCGATAATTATATGAATTCTCTGTCGCATCTCCAGTTCCCGTAAATTCCAATCGATTCTCACGCAGATCGTGATACAGAAGGCTCTAAATTCCAATACCGTACTTAAATCTTTTGTCTGTATTTTTAGATGATTTTTTTTTTGCATTTTCGCGACTTTGATGAAAACAAAGGAAATATCAATTTCTTTTTTCCTTTTTCTTTCTTTGTCTATTTTACTCTTATCGTGCGATTTTTGCGATGCTGGCATTTCAAAACCGGTGGAACTCGATAAACCCGATTTTTGACGATCACGATCAGATATAAGTCACCGATCTTTGATCATTTTTTTTATTACTATTATCTGTACGGCGATGCGATATGCGATTTGATTATTTTTCGATTGCCAAAATATTGTTAAATATCCATTGTTCGCCAGTTTTTTATTCATTGTCTATTGTTGTCAATAACACCTCTCGTCCGTATCTATTTAAGAAACCGTGAAATAATGCGCCCATTTTCATTTCTAATTCTCCTCCCTATATATATTTACATAATAAAATTGATACTTTTTTTAAGGAATCGATATTTTTATAAATATTTATAAATCGTGAATTTATCGACCGATATAGAAGAGTATATTCGAGTGATCGATAATTTACGACTGCAACTTTCGAATCGGGCGATTGACCCGACATACGAAGAAAATACGATACGAGGAGGATTCACATGTGTTCACGTTTCGATAACTTATGCGCTCGTACTTGCGCGGCTTATTAGCTTATCTTTACATTTCTTTTTCACTTGACATCTTTATGAATCGAGATAATATAAGACAGCCAATAAAAAACGTCGCTCACTCCGGCCTAAATATAAAAATTTGGTAACGAGCAATATTTAAATAGTTGAGACATAATTCAGCGGATAGCCAGAACTATAATCCTATTAACTCCAAAAAAGTCTAACGGAAGAATCTGTTACCAGACGGATCCTATAAATTCGTAAAAAGATTTGATCATAACGGCATATTTTCGCACTTGTATTATACACAAAATATATATAACACAGAATTTGAATAGACTCACAAACCCCTCCTTTCCGGTCGTTCACTCCGCGAAAGAATTTTAGCACATTATTCGGGTTTGTATTTCTCCCAAAAGTCAAAGCTCCTATTTGCCTTGGGTTTTACGATCGCGATTATTATCGTTTCTTCTAAATCCGCCTACGGCATTTATGCGACAAACAATCCTCGATTCACGTTGGAGAAATTCCGATGAAGATTGCGGAGAACGACGAGAGCATTGCTTGTCAAAACTAGACGGGCTTGGCGTTATTAGTGTCGGATTTATGCTTCCGATCGTCACCTCGCGACACCGTTTGAATTCCATTATCTTCGTCTATTCCAACGCAAATTATCCTCGAGACGTCTCTTGAAGCGAGACGCTCGTTTCGGCTGTCCTTCGTTTATCATTGCGCTTTGATAGCAGCGAGATAAAAGCTTTGGCGAAGGTTAACCGGCTGCGGTTTACATCTGGCGAATTTTTCGTTTTATTTGAATCACGAAATGAACATGTGTCCCATTGTGACTTCGAGAATCCTGTTGCCGCGGATCCACTTTCGACCTGTTTAAACTACCTGTCTGAGAGCAGTAGATTTCGTTACACGATAAAAGACCGAGAGATCCAAGACGGAGAGACGAGAAAATCTATGTATATATAATGAATCGAGGATTCGAATAACGCGATAATAAATGCTACATCAATCATATGCTACGCATTGATTATTCACACACGTTTGAGGGCACGCACAGTTATTTCGTCGAACCCAAAAGATTTATAAATCAAATACCGTTATTTCCTTTCTAAGCCGAGTTCTGCATCTGTTGTGAGTTATGAATTTATAATATTTGTTGAAGCTACGATCAATGAATTCGGCTTGCAATTAGAAACTGATTGAGAATATGGCATTCTAAATGATTTATATTAGAGCCTCGGTCTAATGAAGGCCATCACGTATCTCGTCGCACACTAAACAACTGTCAATGACACGTGTATATGCGTGAATGTCAGTGATTTCTCGTTCAGTCCGATACGCTAATGGACGTGTTAAGGATTGATTGACAACATATCAATGAATTTTAATATATTAATCAATCAGAAAATGGATATCAAAGTATAAAATTGATGCATAAGAATTCTGCGAGATTGTGCTAAAAGGACATGTGAAACAATCCTTGGCGCCGATCCTAATCCGCGCTACGTGTACCGCCTAATAATACACGATATAAGTGTCGACGACACGTATATTTGCCATTATTGTCGTAACAACACGTCGCCTCGTTTTCTTACGTAAGATTCGGCACCTACCAGCTGATTCAAGGACGTTCATCGCAATTTTTTCGCCCCCGTCTTCCGAAGAACTCGTTATTAGAGTTTTAAATATGTGTACCTAGTACAAATTCGAAATAATGTTCTCGTGTTTCTTAAGTGTCCTTGGAAACCTCTCTCGACGATGATGAGGAGTGCGAGGCTTTATAATCCACTGAATTAATTCAACAGTTGACATTGCTTTGTTTTATTCGGTGCGTAATTTTATGCGGATTTTTTATCTGTCGACAGTGCGAAGAAAAGTTCTCTGGACAGCTTTTCTAGACTATACGCTATTAATATATATATATATAAAATTTACAAAGAAAATTATTTTATTCGAACGCAAATATTTATTATTAATAAACAAGAATATTTTACTAATCGTCGTAATATTTATGGTTTTCAGGAGAAGATGATTACCAGGTATCGACGAAATGATATCCTGTTCGTGATATTATATCTCTTCGTGCAAGTAAGATCGTTTTCCTTACAATAATTACGCTAACAAGATTAAAATTGCAAACAGACTTTCCATTTTTTTTGTCACGAACACCCCGTACAATAACGAATTCAGACATTTCACGGACTTCCGCGCTGTCACATAAATTTTTGCCAATGGCTACGAAAGTTCGACTCGTTTTTCGGTACGTACCCGTTCAATAAAAACCTCGCGCTGTTCGCCAATTTCGCAACACTTTCCCGCGGACGCGCCCTTAATACTTTACACGCGAGTAAAAGTAAAGGCGAGACCGCCCATTTAATGACGTACATGGATGAAAGTGTATCGATATAAGGTGTGCAAAGTACAAGACAGTTTCATTCTCTTATGCAAGATTTTTTTTTGTCTCTTCCCTATTTTAATCTCTTAACCATTGTCACGTTTTGAAAAGGTGCCCGATGAGATCCACGGTCACGGAAGATTAATGGATCCGCCCTCGCGGAATGCAATGTGGAGGTTTGGCTATCCAAATCCGGTTAATTACAACGATAACGAGCTTTTTTGCGGAGGATACGCAGGTTCGTGTACGCAAATTTGTTTATGGAACTCTCTTTAATTTATAACTATATTTAATTTATAACTTGCTACTCGATGTTGGAGATATTGGCTGATATTAATGATAATTATTATTAATTATTATAAATTAATTTTGTAGTCCACTGGCAGCAAAATAAAGGCAAATGCGGAATTTGCGGCGACGCGTATCATTTAAGTGAACCGCGTCCACACGAAGCGGGAGGCGAATTCGCCAATGGAATTATCACTAGACATTATACCGTAGGCGAGGTAATGTAATCTGTTAATTTCGGATATTTTCGTGCATTGAACACTACGTTTAAAAATATAAATTAAAGATTAAATAGTTGATACTTCTTACAACTGACATAATTATTTTCTTCGCGCGCTTGCATACAAAAAAAAGATACATTTCTAAAAAAATTTCTAATAATGCAGGTTTAAAATGTCAGAGTACAATTTGTAGGAAATACAAGTGGAAATCGAGCTCACGGCCAATCATTTTGGAAGATTCGAAATGTATATTTGCCCTAACGACGATCCATCGCGCGAAGCGACTCAAGAGTGTTTCGACTCGTAAGTCTATCTCTTTTTCGCGCATCTGTTTCATTATAATTATTTCCTAATGTATCTCAATCGCATAGTTATCCCTTGTACGTGTCTGGGACGCAAGACGTTCGATTCGAGATTCCACGCGATACGGGGAAAAAGGGCATAATCCAATATACGGTGACGTTACCGCCGTATCTGACGTGTTCGCAATGCGTCGTGCAATGGAATTACTATACCGGTAAATTTTACATTATCTTTCTTTCTTTCTCCGTCGCGACTTGATTTCTCATTCTGTCTATTGTTCCAGGCAATATGTGGGGAACATGCGAGAATGGCACGGAAGCCGTCGGATGCGGGAGACCGGAAACGTTTCGCAACTGCGCCGACGTGAGGATCATCACCAGCACCGGTGGTATACCGCCGCAGTTTCTGCATCAAAATAGTATTTTCCAACTGTATTCCCTAGTTTCGAAATTCACGAGCACCCCGCTAGCTCGGCCACTCAGGTGAGAATCGGCATAATTAAAAAAATTGATCTATTAAGAATTATTACATATATATATATATGTCACAATTCTTAATACATCAATTTATATATACATGATACAATTCTTAATACACCAATTTATATATCGAATTGATTCGCGATGCACGACGTGTGTTTCATGATTTCAGGGTTCAAGTGTGCGAGCCAACCGTGGCTTATCGTTACAGGCAAGATATGAGCAATTGGTGTCAAGTGAATTGCATACGTATCCCATCAAACTGCCCGCCGGGTGTCTGTCGCTGTTTGTGAGTATTTAAATTGATCGATATATACAATTGCGATAAATTACAATTAATTCGAAATTGTATTAAGCAATCAAATCGTTGTACGTATTTCTTATCGCGTCATTCTCGGTACGATATATCCGTGCGTTAAATCTTTTCTAATTCTCTAATTTACTGATATATGTATTTGCAGAGACACGTGCGACGCTATTGGAGATATCGCTAACAAACCCGGAGCTGATCAGTATTGCCTGAGACGTTGCATGCGCTATCCGTCGAATTGTCCGATTGATCGCTGCAACTGTTATTGAAGCTGTGAGAGCGTGGTATTGACATCCCACCGCCATTAATAAGTGTGCGATGTGAATACGCATAGAGATTAATAAAAGCCCAATCATAATATTCTATATTTCATAGCTTAGGCACAATTTCGCGAAAAACATTTTCCTACGATACAATTTTTCTTACCTTTTCGTAGACATTTTTTTCTGGAAAACTGAAAAGATTGTTCTTACAAGAGTGTAATTTAAAATACAAAAAAATGACATGCTTATTTTGAGAGAGGTAACAGGTGAGTGACAAGAAGCTTCGTAATGGCACTATGATATTTAATATTAGGACATTCTCTATTGACAGCTTAAAATCTTTTTTTTTTTTTACGCGTATATCACATATTATATACGTAACCATCAACGCATCTCCGCGATCTTACGCATACGATATATTATTAATTAGTACGCAACTATGTTTTAACGAAACGACGGTTTTACCAATTTTTTTTATTTTTTATGCGCTTCCAATTACCATATAATGTGAACTCATAATTAATTATGCCAATTAGAAAACGTATGCGCTCGTACGTTTTCGTAGCAATGTACTGTATATGTATATTTATATATATTATAGAGATCTCACTATAGTTAACACTTTACAAAACTATATACACTAAAGCCTTCTCTCTTTATCGTTTACAACACTAGCTATAGTAACATATTTTTTCTTTCCTCCTTCCTCTTCATATCTCTCTTCATATACAACATATTCTTTATATATATTATACGAAGGTAAGGGAAGGCAATTAAGAGCCAGCGTGGTAATTTGTACGCAAATTTTATTATAATCGAATTATATTAACATAACAAAGTAGTGATAGACTTAATAATAAAAAACGTACGTTTCGGTCTTTTTGTTTTTGACCATCCTCAACGCAATTACAAAATAAATAAAGAACAGAAACCGAGCTTTTCAAACATGATATCAGAAATGAGTCGCAAACATAAAATTACAAAAAGTTATAAAAAGACAAACAAGAGTGAGTCGTACACGCTGTCAAAAGGCAAATGCCACATGAAACAAACGCTCGAGATAGACTGTGTTAAATTTTTGCAAATGTAAGATTACAAAAAATTACAATAAACAAGAGTGAGTCGCACATGTTGTCAAAAGGCAAATTCCACGATTTATTTTGTAATTGCGAGGATGATAAAAAAAAAAAAAATCGAAACGTATGCTTGTTATTATTAAGTCTATCATTACTTTGTTATGTTAATATAATTTAATCATAATAAAATTTGCGTACAAATTACCGCGCTGGCTGTTAATTACCTTCCCTCATCTTTGTATGATATATTCGTAAGAGCCTTTATTGTTTCATTTTAATTTTAACTTGTCAAATTCTAGCGCGAGGTGTACAATAATACAAAGGTATCTTTTGTTTGTTACTTACTGCTAATCGCTAAGCAACTAATTAACGTCCGCGGCCGGTTGCAGTTTAATTATTCGAATACTCTCCCTCCTTTTTCCATATTTTTTTCACACGATTCTCCCGTTCTGTTATTAATCCTCTCATTCCCACTTAACGTATAATGTTTGTATTATTTTATTGCAATTAGCGCAGATACTTCTCGTTTCGTTGGATTATTTAATAACGAGGTAAAAAATAAAATACTTAAATTGTTGTTTTTATTTTATATTCAATAATATTTAAATAGAGTTAATAATATATTGTCAATACGCATATATTATTGCAATATTAAATCTATCAAAAATATTAAATAGTTAAAAAAAGAAAAACATATTAAAAAATATTTAAATGGTTTTAATAAAATTTCGATATAATTATTTCGAAGGAGTGAAAGGATTAATCGCGACATGCAGACAATCGCCTCGATTTTTTTTTCGATCATGGACGACCAGATTGAGAACGCTCTTGGTATGCGTCTTATCGTTCCAACGAACATCGTTCTCAGGACGACGCAATTACGAGAGTGAGGGAAGGAATCGCATATATTAACTTTTCGCGTTAGAAATTAATCAAGGATAGAGAATATCTCGAGTTCTATTCAAGAAAATCATCAGAGAAATTTTTATGCTTTTGTGTAAATTTTTATGCTATCTCACAGAATTATGAAAAATAATCTTTGTGTACGTGTGCTCTATATATCCTTTCGCACAGTAACGTCGAATCATCGCAAATATATATGAAAAATAAAGCGATAATTAGTCTCGTTCGAACATAATGAATTTACTCACCGACCGATGCGGCGCCGTTGCCTCCTCATCGCCGACAGCTCCATTTTTCCGCGATTGTCGCAAAATCGTGACTAATTAAAACGGCTCCACGATCAGTCTGTCACTTTATTACACGCATTTCCGACTTATTCCACGCGCGATAATGTACTTGGAACGAATAAATAATGCCATAATAGGAAATTGCTCGTCGCGTCGTTTTGCACGGCATTCCCGATATTATGGAAACGCGAGATGCACGTCGAAGTATGAAAAATTCGAGACACGCGTCGGCAATTTCGCGTTGATACATGGATACAAAATTCCAAAAGCAGGATAGAGAGAAAGAGAGAAAGAGAGAGAGAGAGAGAAAGAGAGAGAAAAAGATTATAAAAAGAACGTTAATATAATTACGATAACATTAATAAAAGTTGAAATAAATTTTAGTCGTAATATAAAAACATGTATAATAATATAATATGTAATGTAAAATACGAAATATTTGCATATTTAAATAATGTTAAATATTTTACCACATTTGCGTGTATAATTGATTTAAAGTTTCTTCTCGTCTAATAATACGATAATAATAATCCACGTATCAACCCTAAATTGCCAGAGAATACGATAAAAGTAAGCTAATTTTGATGTTTATATATTAAAATACGCGACAGAGAGTCAAAGTTTCTATTCTAACTCCGCTCACGGCATCGTACGTGTGTTTGTGTCTGTGACCTTTACTACGCGACTCACGCACATGTTACTCAGCTGCCGCGCCGGTCGGGTTAGGTGGGAGTAGTGGGGGGATCGCGCGTCGGTCGTCGGTCGAGTCAGGTGGGAGCGGGAGTGGGAGTGGGGGGATCGTGCGCTTGCTCTCGAGTCAGTAATGGGAGTAGTGGGGGGGATCGTGCGCCGATATCGCTCTATGTAACTACGCACCGTGTTGTTTTTTTGCGGTCAAAGGTATTTGGCGTGTTGTCGAGTGTGCCGAATCGAGCTACGCAATCGTAAACAGTTATGGAATGTTATTGTCGACGCGCTCGCTCCCGATTAAATAATACGTATCACGATTTTTCGTTACCGTCGTCAACGTGCCACGATCGACGTCACAATCAGTGCGAATAGTGCGAAGTTGTCGCCGCGTCTTCTAACGAAGCGCTTCTCGCGGAAGCTGCCGCAGTGATCTTCGCGTTATTTATTCGATCGGATCGTGCATCGTGCGTATCGGAAGTGGAATCGAACAATCGAGTGATCGCTTGAAAGTGTTAATCGGTCGACGCAATCGCGATTAATACACATTTCTCGATATTCGTGAACGGTTTAATGTGATGTGCGGTCGTTAATCGGCGCGTTATCAACGCTACGATTGTAATTCAGTATACGTTATCACGATCGATCGAATCGAGCGACGCGACGAGCAATCCACCGTGGAATATTATCATCGGCGCGTTCGCTCTCGATTAAGTAATGCGTATCTCGAATTTTCGTCACTGTCGAAATCGTCAAAGTGCCACGATTGACGTCACAATCGGCGTAAATAGTGCGAAGTTGCCGCCGCGTCTTTTAACGAAGCGCTTCTCGCGTGAAGCTATCCGAGTGATCGGTTGATGAGTGAAGGTTGCGTTATTTATTCGTTCAAATCGTGCATCGTGCGTGTCGGAAGTGGAATCGAACGATCGAGTGATCGCTTGAAAGTGTTAATCGGCTGACGCAATCGCGATTAATACGCATTTCTCGATATTCGTGAACGATTTAGTGTGACGGGCGATCGTTAATCGGCATGTAATCAACGTTACGATTGTAATTCAGCGTATTTTCACGATCGACCGAGGAATGAAGGAGCCAACGAACGAGAAAACGACGGCGTCGACGAAAAGGTGGGAGAATTGCTGCTCGGTGAGTGATCTCAATTTTTTGTATCTGCGTTCATTCACTCTATCCTCGACGATTCGATGTCGTTACGTTTTGTAACAGCAATCTACATCACACTATCGTATGTGTGTATGTGTTGTCGCATTTATTAAATAATTAAAAATACTTCTGATTTGACTATCGCTTGATTGGCAGTGCAATTTAAACATGACATTTTGTTTTCTAAAGCACATATTTTATAGTTATTCTCTATTTAATGTCGAATAATATGCTACGAGAGATATACAAAGTTAGAGTTAATGAAAAATAAATCACAGTTTACGATCAGATTTATTTAAAATTGATCGTGAGAGTAATTGATAATAAAATGGTATTAATCGAAACGACATCGATTCGGTTCCAACGCGACAAGTTAATTAATTAAGGAATAAGAGAGAGAGGGAGAGGAGCGTAAATTTCGGAAATGATTTTGGATCTATGTAATTCGTTTTCATTTTCTTGTCGCAAGTTTAACGACGCAGCGTATACTATTGTCACTAGCATTTTCATTTTAGGCTTTGTAAATACGCGCGCCATATGCGTTTTGTGCAAAATGTAATTTTGAAAAAAAATAATTTGAAAAAAGAAAAAAAAACAGTAAATAATGAGTGTGTGAATTTTTCTCAAATTTTTATGCGCGCTCAACAACACATCGCGTGACGAAAATACAATTTGCCTTTAATCGCGCGATTAAATCGAGATTTAAAATAAATAAATTAAAAAGAAATGCAAAAAATAATTGGAATAACATTTCCGGATCCTTAGATCGATATATTGACACATCTTAAATCTTTGCATATTTGTAAGAGAATTCGTTCTTTAAAATCAAGCATTGAATCAACAGATTCATACTAAAAGATACATCTCAAATCCTCGAAGTTTCGAATCTTGAGAATCAATTAGGGAACTCTTACATCCGTAGGTAATTAATTTCTAGGATGTCTGGGGATCTTAAATCTAGTACATAGATTCATACGCAAAAATTTTCACTCGCTTATCGATGGCATTTACATCTTTAGGCTGCTGTGTGAAAATACACACTTGAACAATTGCTTCACGTATGCGAAATCTTCGCAATTTGGCGCAAAATAATATCGCACTCGACTAATTACAGTGACTCATGGCAAATTGAATAATTAAATGTTAATCCAGCGTAAAAGCGATGGTGCGCTGGTTTTTTTTGGTTTAATTGGTGCATATTGTTATCTAAATTCCGTAAAATTTTGTTTAGACCTGACAGATCCACGTTTAGAGTTTTTTTAATGATAAAAATATTCTATATATTTTTCTTTTACCAATTTAGAGAAAATCACGGTGTTTAACTCATTTAATTTACATAATACATTCTTTTTCCTAAATAATAACAATGATTATCTTTTTTTGTGATTGTGAATAAAAATTATTTTGCGACAGTTTTTTTTTTTCAACTTCTTCGTAATAAACGCAATAAAAATATTCTCGCGTTTATTACAAAAATGTTACTTACAAGTTATATCTAGATAAAAATATAATCCATAAATGTATGACGAAAATATATATAAATACTATTTTAACAATGTATGTACAGTTCTGTGAAAACATTCTATAAAACAAAACACTTTGAAACGTTATATAAAGCAATGTTACAATATATGCGTATGTATATGTATCGTGGCACCGGATCTTACAGATTTTTTAAAAAAGTGCAACTTGCAAAACACGAATAATTTATGCAAGTTAATTTCTCTCATTACGTAATAATATTTTAGCAGTATACATTATATATTTTAGAAAGATACTCTGGACTTTATTCATAACTATCATTTTGCCTACGTATACTAGTTATGCGAGCGCTAATCACATTTCGTTCGTTATATTATATAAGTGCCATCTCTCTGCCAGATTAATCATGCTCGAAATAATCGTAACGTCCCTTTCTAACGCTGAGGCGTTAATCGCAACATCGAAATAGCAAAGGGATTGTTATCAATGTTTCAGAGTGCCTTTTATATTAAACATTATTAATCTCTCTCGACGTAACTTTCCGAGCTAAACCTGCAGTTCTTATAATGGCATGCTAAAAGTGATCGATGTACACCAGGCGTCGCGGTTTAAAGTTATACAAAATGCGATATGTCAGGGATACGCGCTCAAGATTTGCAACGGTCCATCATTTCTGATTTAAATTCTGTCAAACGATCATCGACGCTTTCGCAACGAATGTCCGTCGAGATCGTGGTTTGATCACAAATTGCGTATAACTAACATAATTATTAAAGTAATTAACTTAAAAAAAATATATATCATTTATTTTGCCACAATTATTAGGAAAATTTTTCAGCTCGCGATTCTAACCAGATAGAATATTAAAAGGATACCTTGTGAAACTTGCGCGCGCCTCCGCGTTGTACGACAACAAGGTCTTTGGCTTGCGATGAACATATTTTCCAAGACGCGAGAAAAAGTGCGACGTACGCGATGATATCGGAAATTATTTACATAGAATAGCGTCCTTAGGCGAGTAATATTCTCTTTTTTTTTTTTTTTTTTTTTTTTTTTTTTTTTTTCATTCTCCTCCAGCACACATCCGAGTTTTTTCCCCGGAGTCCTCTGCGTGAGTCCTCTCACGGATTTGACCATAGTGCAATTTTTTTATCGACTCGTACAAGAAAATTACGCGGGCGAATTTTCGAAAAGGTAGTTCGGTATACCATTATCCGCTATGATTGCGAACGAAATCGTACGGTAGTAAGTATATCATTTTCATTTCCCTCTATCACCACGGCGGGACCTGTTACTCTAAATCTTATTATCGGCTAACCTATCATAAGAACGTTACGATACTTAAGTTGAGCTGCTGAATTAACAGTACGATCGTCGTGAATACTTTTAGAATCCTTATGATTACGCTCGCGTGTTCAGACCAGTCGTACTTCGCTTTTGCGTGCACGCACTCGGTATTGTGCGTAGAAAAAAAAAAAAAATACAAATGTTTGGTAATCGAGAAACTTGTATCTCGAAATAAAGTGAAATCTAAAAATTCAATATTCGGTAAAAAAACTTAGCAAGCATATTAAAATCCATCGCTCTACTTTCTACCATCTCTTTTTGTAAAACGCGGCATAATTAGGCGATCATTCTTCGTTTCCATTAGCTAAATTACCTATTTTTTTTTCATTGGAGAAAACGAGCAATCGGCCCTCAGAATCGTCATGAAGTTCGCAATTGAACGTGAGACAAACGCGTATTGCCAGTAATTAGTGTAATAATTATTTCATTCTAAATTTAAAACTAGACACGAAAAAACACCGAGGTTAATACAGTTAGGAGCACAATTTATGCAATTTTTAAATGGCTCTCTCTTTCAATTTGTAGCGTCGAATCAAAGTTCCTGGGGCAGTAACAGGAGCGGAGATTCGACAGCAAAACGAACATTCCAATAATTTAACACATATTAATACTTTAACACGCTATTCTGAATTCGTATGGATATTTTTTATTCTTTTATATATTTTCTGTCATTAATTCGCGAGCGCGATTCGCTCAAGCGAGGATCAACGAGTGAAACGCCGTGTAACATCATCGTAATCGCCGTCGACTATTATCGGTTAATTAATTCGACAAAGCGATTACGATAAAGCGGCGTGTGTACTATAACACGAAATATTTGTAATTAGACACTTACGATATATCAGGTCACGATAATTTGTCAATAGTTAATATCGAACGGTCGTAAGACACAATGTAAGACACGCTAAATTCTAAGCGATTACTCTAACAATAAGTAAGACGAAAAAACGTGCACATCGATGCGCTTAAATTATGATTGCGCGTCACGCGTTGGGATGCAATATTGGCAAAATATTTATATTTTTTTAAAAATATTATATGTATATATCTTCGCGATATCTTCGTTAATCAAATTCCGATCAATTGGGGACCTGGATTTTACTGTAACGCATAACGGGACATATATCGAAACGTAACGTTTCGCGAACGCGTGATTCGCGAAGAAGTGAAGTATCCGGGAAAAGCACGACCATGGAGAGCGGCCAAAGGGCTCAGATTTGGCTAGCACCCTACGAGCGCGCGTTTGCGCGAGATACTGGATCGAAACGAGAATAACGAGTTCCCAATTCGCGCGCACGAATTTACTCATTAATTTAATTATCCCTGTCTGGGAACGTTGTCATTGAACGTTTACTCAACACAGAGAGTGTGACACGATCTACCACGTCTATCTACTTGTATCTCACATCCTCTACATCCTCTACGTTTCCGGTCTACGTTAAACTACGGTCATCTACGAACAACGTTAGAGAGTACACTCTAATGTCTCTATAAACAACAGCGCCCGTCTCTTTAACGTTTTCACAAATTATTTTTGCGTATTTCCTAATATGGCACGCGTATACTAAGGATGGTAAATAGTAATGGTTTAATACAAGTCAGGAAAGAGACGAAAGAGATTTAAATGGATCCATACGTTTTGAATCCTTGTCACTCCGAGCAAACAAATCGGATCGTTGAATTACGGATCGTTAGGCCATACGTGTAGATATTAATAGCGACTAGATGCCGACGTATATTTTCGACGACGAAATATCGATTCTATCGAGCAAATTGCTCGCGATCCTTTATTTTGCGCCCAGACACCGTCATTTTCGACGCGATATCGTGGATTTATCCGTAGCATTTGATTGCGCTCGTTTGATCAGATTCTGCAACGCTTTCGCAAGCTTTATTCCAATCAAAAAATGTATCTTTTAAATAATGCAGTGATCGAAACTTCGCCGGGTAACGGTCTGAACACGCGAGGTCGGTAAAGTGGATCAAAGTGAAAATCGAAATCGAATTTGTGTGACTGTTGTAAATGTAAAATGCAAAGATACTTTTTTTTTTTTAAATATCAACACGACAAAAATTACAGGTAACCTAAAGTCGCATAGGTTTTTACATAGGGCGCATCCACTCTACAGTTTTCCCTGAAACAGACAGTGAGCTCCGTACGAATAAAAGAACATTATTACGTGAGATTATTTACGTGCGAGTACGGAGAGAAATCTTTTTTTTTCTTTTTTTTTTTTTTTTTTTTTTTTTTTTAGAAAGAGGAAAAAAAATCTGTATACATATATAATGTATAAACTGATTCTTTTTGCTCAGTTATCAGGTTTATTTTGGCTAGACATGTAAGCCGGATCCTTGAACACATTATAATTAATGCGAAATAATGAAGAGAGTTATTTTCGATGTATTTCATCAATTCACAGTAACGCGTAAAGTATAAGTCGTGATGTACGAAAAAAACTGATTTCGTAATCTGTAAAAAGGAATTTCCGCTTCTGACGTCATAATAGGATAAGACTTCCTTGAGGAAAAACGATGAATATATTCTCGCGAGGAGAGCAAGCGTAATCCTAAGATTAGGTCGGGTCAGGTCATCAGGTACTTACTCGTCCTCCCACGGGCATACTTCGTTAACATTATTGTCACGCTTCTCCCGAGGCGCCGCCTGCGCCGTCGCCGGTCGGTCTTCCTGTTGGGCGTCCGGTTCCCAGACAGGTACGACCTGCGCCTCGTCCGGCGGCTCCTCGGTCGTCACCGGTTCCTCCTCGGCCACCGGCGACACGTCCGCCCCGGTGTCGGCCCGCGAGTCGGCTTCGTCCCTCGTTCTCTCCTCGACGACGATCTCCCCCGCGTCCCTCGCCGTGCAGCTCTCGCTCGCGTCTTCGTCGATGTTCTCCATCGTGGAGTTGTCGCTCGGCAAATCGCCCACGATCGCGCTAATGCTGATGAGAGGCGCCTTCGCGCTCGTCCTGAGGAACAGGCGTTGTTCGTTCTTGATATTTCACGATTCGTCAAAATAGCATATTAATGTTATTACGAGTGAAACTTACTTGGGACTCGGCTGGCTTTCTTTAACGACGACGGATTCCGCGGATGTCTCCTCCTCGGGCACAATTTTTTCAAGAGACGATCTCTCTTCCACCTTCTCGACGACCACGTGGGAGTACTCGAATGACTGCTGGGGCGACGGATAATTGCAAGACGACACGGACACGCGATTCATCTCCGATAGTCTGATACGGCCGCTCGCCGAACAGGTGGAATAATTTCGCGTTATCATGCCGGGGCCCGAAGTCGCTGTACCTGCGAGTGAAACGGAGATTTAATATAATTTATTGTTAGAGTTCCCCTCTGTACACGCGCGATCGATCTCTTTGCGAGGATCGCTCGTCTATCGCGTCTAATCTCTATTGCGAACAGACCTATGCTACCGCTATGTTGCAAGCTACACGACTTGCGCAGCCGTTCGGAGACCTCCGCGATGGCGAGGCTGACGTCCGACGACGAGCTGCACGAGTCCAGCTGCGCCGAGTTCTTGCGAGAGGCGCGCGTTGCCTCGGCGGTATGAATGGTCGCGTGACCGCCGCTGTCCCACACGTGTCGGGCCTGATCAGCTGACGCTGTCACTCCAGAGGGAGCGGCATCCGCCGCACCGTGCTCGGTGCTCGGGCCTGGCACGGACTCCCACGGGCACACGTCGTCCATAGGGCGAACCGCTACTTCCGTCGCGCCAGCATCCCTGACAACAGGAACTTTATTATATTTAGTTTTCACCGTTTGCTCTCGGCAATTTACACACGCGCTTTGTACGCGTGTTCTTTGTTTGCGTGTGTGTATGCGTGTGGATGTGCGTGTATTTGTACGAATCTGTTCTTTCTCAGCATCAGTCGATACATGCATGCTGTGGTTCCATTCAACGACTAGGAGAAGTACGGGTCTCTATACATACGTGTGCGCAAGGTGTCCCGGAACTATCCCGTTTGAAAAATCCGTGGCCGAGCAATGAGCGATAATTCCGGGACATCCTATGACGGATCTGGGCGATTCGCGTGTTTTCGTAGAGTTTGAATCCTCAGAGTCCTTGTGTCGCGCATTGTTGAATACAGCGCAGCTTTTCGCGATTAGGCGAAAAAAAATTCTCTTACGAGACATTAGGTAAATTATGAAAAATGGGATTGTACGACATGAAAAGGCGGGTACATATCTTTCTCATTCTGCAGGTTAATGTGCTTGACAAGTATCGCGTGTGTTGCATAAAGTATATTACAGATGTAGAAACACAGAGAAATAAGTAAGTCTGGTACGGACAACATAATATCAACATCAAGGCAATTGTACGGAGCGTCTCAAAAAAAAATTAACGATGCATACTGCCTACGATCGTAAGGATAATGCAGAACCGGCGTCTATCGCAGCTTTAGCGGTATCAAGGTATTTACAAAGTGTACATCATAACATTGAGATAAATCGGCGATCTTCTTACAATGAAGATTTTCATTACACTCTTATATATTGTTTCATCAAGTTAACACAAACTCAAAAATAATTCATGAAATACGAAACAAAAATATTTATAAACTTAAAATAAAATAAAAAATTAATATCATATTTTAATTTAGTATACAATTATATTAGTTCGAGTATATTTATGATTTCGATATGTAATTACATGTATATAATTTACATGAGAATGTGAAGTATGTTCACCTCATTGTGTGTTCTGATTTGTAGGGATCATAGAACAGTATATGTGGGTGACACTCGTGGCAGAGTATTTTCATGGAGCGTGTGTGAACAACCCGGACGCACGGTCGCCGATCATTGGCTGAAAGACGAAGGAGCGGATTCTTGCGTTGGTTGCGGCGTTCGATTCAATTTATATGAAAGAAGGCATCATTGTCGCAACTGTGGACAAGTATTCTGCTCCAGGTAAGTCTTAAGTAAATAGTAATTGTTTCGTTAAAAAAAAAAAAAAAGGAAAAGAAAAAAAACAAAAATAAAAAATATATATGTATATATTAGTTAATAATAATTTAATTATATTTTTTTTAGCACGCGCGTCAATATTTCGAGAAAATAATTAACGCAGCTTCTTTGAAACACTCCGCGCAAATACGACAATAGCTGATAGTATTCGAAAACACACTGAGATTTTCAAAGAGGATCTTATATAGACAATAGGACGTCATAATATCGTCATACAATTACCAACACGATACTGTTTTACACAAATTTTGGTGAACTTTCCATAAACGCATGATTTCTTGGAGAGTGCGAGAGTTTTCAAACACACACCGAGATAAGAGGGATTTTGCCAAAGAGTCTGGATACGGAGGTACAATGGGAGCGTGCGCGCGACGCTGAGAAACGTTATAATAATCATTCGGGCCGCCTTCTCCCTTGTGTCATTCTCGTGTGCCCGACTCGCGCGCTTTCTGCTCGAGATCACTACATAGTTGGAAAATTTGGCTTGAATTTAACATATATCGCATGTTTCAAACAATCCACACTTTTTTTTTAAATTTAACATATGGATATTCAACACAAAATGAATTAAAATTTCATAGTAATTTGAAATCAATTTTGTGTAAAATCAACATATTTTTAATGGTAAAATTAACTTGGAAAAAAAATTATTGACGGTCTGTAGTCACTCTCACTCCTATTATAGAATAAAATCAACATTTTTTTCTGCAAACATTAACAGATAAATCCTGTCACTAATATTACGGAACATATCTATCGTGTAAAATTAAAAATAAATGCACATTGTTATTTAAAAATTTTTTTATATTTTTTTCAGTTTTAATAATTTGAGTTCAATTAACGCAAGAGCAATATCTTAAATTAACACATGAATGTATTAAATATTTAACGCAACAATTTTAACCGGCATATTTTTTAACAAGAAAACAAATTTTCCAACCGTGTATGACGAGAGATCGGCACACGGAGAGACGGCGAGCGAAGAAAGCGCGAGCGGACAGATGTTAACGCGTCGCGCGCTTGCCGCCCGCTCCCACACATAATCGAGAGATAGAACCGTGGTATGTATTCGGGCGTGTGACTTACTGAATACTACGTGGACTAGGCCTCGAAGGCATCTTTATGAGTCGTGGTAGATCTCCCCTGAAAATACGACGCGCACGGATAAGGCTAATCGTATCGGCCACGGTCCCACCCGCGGTGTCGGCGCGAACGGATAGCATGCTAAAAGCGCATAGAGTATCCCGCCGAAGAACGGCGAGGGACAGATACGCTACTATCTCTCTCCTTTTCCGGGGACTACCTCTCGGGTCCCCCAAGCCCCGCGTACCTGTATGGAATGTCGGTGAGGTTCGATTGGCTGTGTGAGTGCGGCACTCGCGGCGCGGAGGATGCGTCGCGGACACCGCAGACGGTTAGCTCGTGAGCACTTCCGGATAGGCTCCGGTCGCTTCCTCTTCGTCTACCGGCACCGCCGCCACCGCCGCCGCTTCCGCCGCTGCTACCTATACTAGCGTGCTGCAAAGTGCTAGACGTCGGTGTCGAAGTGGAGGAAACTTTCTTCTTAGCTTGGCCGCCGAAGCCGAAAAATCTGGAACGATCGAAGGGACATTTCTCGCGTCGATTTTTTCGTCGCGAAATTACAGAAGGTTTAGTAATTACGAGAGAGCCTACCTCTTCTTTTGTAGAGGTTGCACGCCAGCGGCTAAGAGATTACGATATTGATCGGAACGAATAAATCTAGGATAGCAGTCCTTCTTGAGGAGTAACGTATATACATGCTCCGCGGCGGAATCAAACGTAAATCTGCTCGGATTTTTCATCTCCTGATGAACCTTCTCCATCGTTTTCCCGTCTATGTTGATTTCGCAGGGAGCTCCAGGCGCCAGGAATTCTCTGCGCATTTGAACACGTCATAGATAATTTTTTTTTCTCTCTTAAATAAATTCAAGTATTGTAACAAGTAATATGTACGCATAATAACGCGCGTACCTAAAAATTTCGTTGACTTTGTCAGGTATTTGTGCTTGGAAACTATGCCTGAGATCTTTGACCGCCAGCCAAAATCTTATATTTTCGTGGCTGTACTCCTTTCTTAAATAACTTGTAAATTCTTGTAAACCTGTTGAGGGAAGAAGGATATTTATAAGATTCGCTAACGGCATGAAGACAATGTTGTATTAATACGAATTGAAAAGTTTTACCTGTAGGATCAGACATAAGTTCTTCCATCGACAGTGCCCATCGCTTAACACGCTTCTCCGTAGGAACTTCCACTCTGGATGCGTGGTAAATTTATTATATTATTAAATTTGCCACGGATATGGATCACGTATTAGATATCCATTACTTACAAAGGACTATTCGTTTGCCAAAACGTGTGATCGTCGGTGATCCATGGATTGGAAGGTTGCGGCTGTACGAACATCGGGTCGTATTCCACGTACGTGTTGAAGTATGATTTCAAATTTTCGATCGCAGTCGAAACCTTTATCCTCGTGCGTGTCAAACTGTTCCGTAAAAGGTCCACCTGAACGAATGAGATTAACACGAGCGTGTTAATTAAATCGAGATTTAGATAAAAATATACACAGTTGGAAAATTTGACTTAAATTTAACATATATTACTTTTTGTGTTAATTTAACGTAATATGGATATATTAAATGGTGACAATAAAATACTATGTTATTATTTCAACACGAAATTAATGCAAACTTTATAATAATTTGAAATTTTTTAATGATATAATTAAGTTGGAAAAATTGACGGTCTGTAGCCACTCTCACTTCTATTATAGAATAAAATCAACACTTTTTTTCATAAATTTTAACAGATAAATCCTATCATTAATAATACGAAACATATCTATATCTATCGTGTAAAATTAAAAATATGCGCACATGGTGCTATTTTTACACTTTTTTCAATTATTTTATTAATTTAACATTTCAGTTCAATTAATACAACAGCAATATGTTAAATTAAAACATAAATGTGTAAAATATTTAACACAAAAATTTTAACCGGCATATCTTCTGACAAGGAAACATAAATTTTCAAATTGTTTATAATATGCTGTAAGCGCAAAATCAATCGACGGCGTTCTCACCTCACGTTGCAAATCGGCGAGGGTGCGTTTGCGTGACGGTGGTCGTGGAAGTCCGGGACGAAAGCGAGTAGGTACAGGCACGACTTCCAGGCTACTGAGACAACCGGGCGGCGGCCGATATACCCTCCAAAATGCTCGCTCCTGCGAGTCGCTCACTATCTTGTCCCCCTTTTTGCGCTCCTTGGATAGGCGTACCTGAGCCCACACAATCAGTAGGATTTCAAGGAGTCACGTGTTCGAGTATACGGAATTTGGCATTACGCGGAACCATATATACATATGTATGTATGTACATTTAAAAAATGTGTTTCATATAAAACACAGATTACATAATACTACCGTATTTTTTGTGTCAAAAGATAAGTATCTTTCTCCTTTAACAAAATTTCCAGAAATGCATCATTTCCGAGATATCTCATTTTTTAATATGCTAATATGTATGTTAATAATATGCAAATGTGTATGCTGTTTCTTGCTTTTTCATGTAAATAATTTTTCCTGTAAAAATTTTGATAATTCTTTTATAATTAAATCTAATATTTACATTTTCATAATGAAACACTTGAAAAAAGTTTCAGTTGACATAAAATAGATTATGACAGCCAAGTCTTCCGGCTCTTATGTTAACAAAACAGATATGTTGTATGATGTAAATATTAGACTTAATTATAACAGAATTATTAAAATTTTTACACGTAGAATCATTTTCACGAATAATAAAAAAACAGCATATATATATACACATATACTGTATTTTTATATTAAAAAAATTAGATATCTTGATGAAAACGATTTATTTCCGGAAATTTTACCGAAGAAAAAAGATGTTTATCGACAAAAAATACGGTTATACCGCCCCGTATCCTATCTATTCAGGACACACTGTATATGTATGTGTATATATACACATAGTTTTGATATATTTATTATTATTGATGAAAAATAGGCGCGCGATAGCGAATAATTAGTCACCTGCTCTTCTGCCTGTAGTTGTATTATGTCCCATTTGTTCTGCAAGTTCTTGCGCAGGCTGTTCAAAGCTTCCTAAAGACAGTACGGTTTTCTTTTTACGAATGCTCTTAAACGAGCTTGTCAATTGCTTGTTATTGCGATAGCAATATTGCGATATCATTACGTACGATCTCATAGTCCTCGAGAGCGTGACGTTGTTTGTTCTTCAGGGTTCGTTTAGCCAGATAGATCGCGTACTCGACATTGTCAGGGGTTCTGTGTTGCCACGGCCAATAATAGGGTGTCTAGGCGCATCAATTTTTAAGATAAGCAATTAGATGATTCCGAACGACAGAGTTGGAGATAATTTATTTCTTCATTATTTTTGAAAGCTATATAACTTACCTGAAATCTATACAGAGAGCTATCGTCCTTTACAGTGAGTGTCTTGGAGTCATTCACTGGGAAGAAGTAGCCATACTGGCATAGTTGATTAGCAATATGGACCGCCTCTACTGTCAAACATAATAATGCACTTTGATATCTGAGGTGACAGTTATATCGACAAAAGCCTCTAATTGTCGTTTAGGGTCGTGCAGGTCACTCAAACGATGCGACATTGCTCTGTGTGTCGTATTTTAGTAGAATCTGTCTGTTCGCAATTTTTTTTTTTTTCCAGCGAACATACAATACATACGTCGATGCCTACATTAAATTATAATTTTGCTATCTTTATAAAAAATATTAAATAATAATAAATTGCCCGCTGTTTTGATGTCGGAGCTCTCGGAGATAATGTCAACTCTAAACATTTAGTTTTACTTATCAAATAATGAATTTGGTTTTAATTCGATTTACCTGTCGCACACGTAAATGTTCTCGGTATTTCCATAAATACTGTCCGCGAATTCCTCAACTATCTCTCACCGAGAGAGTTATGAGGACATTAATTCTCGTTAAATTCATACGACGCGAATTACACGCTCGCCCCCCGCGACGAAACGGGATTGTAATCTAACGAAATTTACATTTTTCATTTTGCACGAGGGACATACTGTCGCTCGCATGGGCGCGCAAAAATCTCCGAACGCAAAATTCGAAAAACCGGGAGAAATATTCAGTCCGTCATGGAAAAACGGTTCACGTGTTTTCTCGCGTGTGCGAGATGATCATTATTTATTTTCGATAACGAGCGATATATAAATAATTAATACTCGACTCGAACGGAGGAGTGTCTCCTGTGTAATATGTGTTAATATGTAATCGATACTTGAAAGGCACCAAGCGGAAAGTATCGATGCAAATGCGAATCGGAAACGGCGAAGCGAGAGTATCGATGGTGTTAGTCGTTAGTGTATCCTCGAGCAAGAGCGGTCGAGTGAACGAGCGAACGAGCGAGCGAGAGAGAGAGAGAGAGAGAAGGAGCAGCAAAGGGGAAGGGGAACAGCTGACACGATCACAGCGGTAGTAGACACATACGAGAGCCCGTACCTGATTCTTCGATGGCAAGCCGCTCCATCAGCCACTCGATGAGGTCGTAACCTGCAACACGCAGGCAGCCTACTGTAGTGTCCTGGCCGTGATGGCCGCTTACGCTTACTCCACAACGCAGGTACCGATGGCACTCACCCATGAACGCTGAAGGGATTGAGGTGAGAAATTGTTTTTGGCTGCGCACGGGTACCCCGCTCTCAGGGTCTTGCATCTCCCGCACCAGCCCCTCCATCTGCTCGAGAAAAGGTCAACGCGATTATTACGTGGGAGATAAATTTCGTTAGTTATATACATTGCTGGAAAATTTGGATTAAATTTAATATATATCGCATGCCCCAAACGGTCCACACAAATTTTTGCGTTAATTTAACATAATATGAATATATTAAATGACACTATGTTAATATTTCAACACGAAATTAATGCAAATTTCTAGATAGTAATCTGAAATAAATTTTGTGTAAAACTAATATATATTTTTAATGATAAAATATTAACTTGGAAAAATGTTATTGTCTATAATCATTCTTACTCCTATTGTAGAATAAAATCAACATTTTTTTTCTGTAAATTTTAGCAGATAAATCCTGTCACTAATAACACGGAACATATCTATTGTGTAAAATAAAAAATATGCGCACATTGTGTTATTTTTACACTTTATTTCAGTTGTTTTAATAATTTAACATTTGAGTTCAATTAACACAACAGCAATATGTTAAATTAACGTTAAATATTTAATGCAAAAATTTTAACCAGCATATTTTTTAACAAGAAAACGCAGAGTTTCCAACAGTGTATATATATATATATTTAGCTACATTAAAAAACGCCACGTTTGTTTATTAAGGGATAATACCTTGTCGAAGGCGTAAGGCCTGTGAATACGTGGCTCCTTCTCTTTCTGTTGTTGATTGCTAGAGGCCTCCATCGCGATCGCGCGCGAGGCGGCCCTCTGCGTCGCTGGCAGGAGCGGTGTCGATATCGATGGCGGAGGGGGCTGGGGAGCTGGGCCGGAGACGGGTCTACCCGAACTCCATGGGGCTCTGGCCCCATCCCATCACTCCAGTCACCCCCGCACGCCCACTGAAACACATCCGGTAAAAATCGCTCTCATTATTTCTCTTATTTATCTCATTAACATATGTATTAACGGACATAGAGTACACATAAATACGAATTAATTTAATTATAAATTGCGATAAATTTGTGCATAATATTTTTCATTTAAAGGTAGAAAATCGCCAATTTTTAAAGCGAATTTCAACGTCGGTTTCTATCGCGGTTAGAGAGGGGGACTCGTGTATAATTTTCAATTCGCTTTTATATCCTGTCATTTAATTATTCGTGTTTCCTGTTTACGCGTGTACAACTCACAATTAGTTTGCGCGAAAAAGGGAGTTTGTAAATAGAGGCCCGTTCTCTCGATTAATGAAAAATAAAATCTTACTCGAAGATGCAATAGATTCTCAGACTAAATTCTCTTTGATCCTATTTTCGGATCGCAATCTCCACAGATACCTGTATACCTAAGTTTTATAGGAATATCTTCTGGGCATTCTTATAAAAATAGCCACCTTCTCGTATATCTTTATAGTGTCGTCAATTTTTAATTCTTTGCCTTTTGATACACTTTATCGACGAGAACGTGCCTTCGCTCTCATTATTTATGAAGGCATATCGGATTAAGAAAAGTCGACAAAAATATCGGCCATTTAATTAGCAATAACAGACATTTGTATTAATGTATTAAGGCACATTTACGTATAATTATTTTTACACACAATCGCTATTGATAACAATATATATATTTTTCGAATGTCGTTGGCATTGATTGATCGACAAGCATTGAGCATTTATTGATTGATGTACGGTAATAAGAAACTATATGAGAATCTAGTCGAGTAATACATTTTTCAACTCATATCGCAGGCGCACATCGATTTACTCTTTATCTTATTGTTAGCCTGGCGATCTGAGGCGCTAGATCTAGTGCACTCTTACATACATACAAAGCTTACAAATGAATAAGGGCATTTCATCTTCGGGGAGATCATTTAGCTTGAATAAAAGAGAACCGGGCGCTGATGTATTGCACTTCCGCCTCCCGACTTCCGCCGTTCCGCATCGCGCTCGTGCAACAAACTGCGGCAATAATAAACCGTCACGGAGAACGGCAAAATGCGTCGGGTCGACGCTTATGAACGTTTCCCTTTCAGGTTTAAGCGGATGAAGATTTACTTTATTAGATCCGCCGGCTTCTCTCTCTTGGTCGAAATAAAACTCTCCCCGACCATGCTTGTCGTAAATTCGGAAAACATATCCGCTGTATATATCCGGAGACTCGTAGAACAAAATATAATTTGTTATTTACGTTCCATTTCTTTTTCGCGGGATATTTTCCACAGTCGAGAAACCCGAGGTCGAGACAAGATGATGATGATGATGATGATGATGATGATGATGAAATAAGAGCTCTTCCGCGAAGACTCGTAGAAGAGACGTGGTCGAGCCAAGCACATTTTTAGCGTTAAAAGCGCGATGATACGGATCGTCCGAAATGTTTTCTCGGTAGAATGCTTGCGGAAACGATGCGAAATAGGAATTTTGCCGAGTTAAAAATGACGCCGCGAGACGCTATATCGAGTTACCGATGGTATCGCGTTACTGATGCGCTCGCGTTACCATCCGGACGAAACGCAAGGTCGACGCGAATCGTCATCAAGGTCGCGGTGCGCCGTATCGATGGGAAGACGAGCGCTGTCCTGAAAATGGAGATGGTTTTGTGTGATTCGGTGAAAACGGGCATCCGGATAAAGTTGCGCCGTCGATATATCGGTGTATCCCCCCGGGTTAACGAACCCGGACCCATTCGATTGGCGATAATGGGGTAGTGTTCTCGTCTAGCTAAAGACAGAGACGAGAACATGGGAAGAGAGACGCGGAGAGGGAGAGAGAGAGGAGAGGAGAGAAGAAATAAATACGCGATCATCGGGTCATGCTGGATTATTACTGAGAGATATTTCTGTTTCGATCGAGAAGTATCTTATCCCGTATTTTAAATTTGCACCGCGTTTTGCCCCCTCGCATTTCTTTCGACATGTCGGACATCGAATCTTTTTATTTTCGACGAAACAAGTTGTTAACTCGGTCGTTCTACGGCATCTGTTGCAAAACTTTCGCTCCGTTATCCTTGCTTCCCGAACTTAAAATTGGAATCGACCGTAAAAGGAATTTGATTCGATGCTTGGCGATCTTTGGGGAGCCGTGGACGGGAGATTCAAAGACGGATGTACTTTCAGGGAAATTACGTTTCGAGAAAGAGAAAGACAGAAGGGTGGGAGAAATGAGAAGGGCGGAATTTCGATCAAAGTGCGCTGGATATAGAAAGAGGAGGAATAGCCAGAATATAAAAATGAATCCCCAAATGATCTGAGGACAAGCAGATGCGTGGGAGGAAGCACGCTCCTCTCCCCCTCCTCTTCTGCAGCCTCGCTCCAAGCTTGGCATCCTCCCTCTACCTGCCAATTTACGTGCTAATCTGAAATCGATAAGTTCCCCGGCACATCCCGAGACTTTGGGGACGTACGTTTTTACGAATTATTCAGTGCGCGGAGTTATTAATGTCCTGCTCAATTACAGGCGAGTTTTCAGCGACCGGAGGAAATCAATTAAGCATGCGCGGGGGTGGCGAGTGTCCCTCGTCGCGTATCGTTAACCCTCGTCGCTAGCGGCTGAGATTTCAATGGGGAGGTCTCACTTTCTCGTTTCTTCCGTAAAAAGGGGTACGTGTAACGCGTCATTATGCCGAAGCATCTAAATTTGAAATTGTACCATAACATTATGTTTCATTTATTAAGGTTTATCTTGTCCGTATTTGCATATTTATTCAAAAGGTTCGCCTTTCGTTTAAATTAATAATTGTCGCGTTATCTCGTATCATCGATAACTGACGCCGAATGCGAAACTCAATTTGCCATTTATTAGTGTTACTCTATCGGAGAGACCCCCTTACTGGGCAATATGGGATTGATTGTATTCCATGTAAACAAGATGACATTTCAATATATATCGATGGTTTAAATTAATTATGTTATTTTATATAGAATTTAATTAGAGTCGTTTTATAGATAGGTGAGTGTGAATGAATGTGTGGATATATCCGTAAAAATAGACGCATAGGTATGTTATTTTTCTGCTATTATCTATTGCTTAGTAGATATCTTGTAGGAGAAAATTGATAGATCATCGAGCATTGATTCCTTTACATAAAATCTTTACATAAAATTCCTTTACATAATATATATATATATAAACTATCCATTTTGACAAATATTTTCAACTATCTAGAAGACATTTGGATGAAAAAATGTATTGGCAGTAATAGTTAACATTAGCTATATTTTTCATGACAAAAATCGCCATCGTAGTGGATATTATTGAATATTGCCAACATTTACAATGTGCGAATATAAGTCGGTCACATGTGAAATTCATACACACGATATTGCCGTTATCATATCGGCCATTACTATTGGCATGCACATATTATGTCGTATGGAGCCTGTTTTAGACGAATAAGGAAAATACGCTATAGATTTCGATCGCGATTCGATAAAGAGAGGCTTACTTCTTTCTATTTTATATATCCTTTTTACTTTAACATATTTTTCGACGTTGTTTTGTACTTTCACAATCGCCACATCCGCGAAACAATAAATGTCACTTGCGGGTTTTATACTGGCCATTTCAACGTATTGTGAGAAATACGTGAGAAACGCTATTCGCGAAATCGCAAAGAAAATCCAGAAAAATCGTACTTCGGACCAATCCCGAGAAGAGCTTGAATAAGTAATATCAATGGAAGAAATCACGGTCGTCATAAAATTCCGTGGGAAGCGACACTAAGCTCGCCTTTCTATGGGATTAACTCTCGCGGAATTCTCTCGGCGGGACTTGTTTCCCGAGAAGCTTTGTGCGACCGATAACGAATTTCCTTGTTTCCTATTCAGACACGGGACATTCAGCGAACAGGAGGGGAAAGCGTGCGCGGCATTAACCCTTCTCAATTGAATGAGAGAGGGCGAGTGAAATTGTAGGCTTTTTTGAATTTCTCGGATTTTGGCTTGGATTTGAGTCCTTGTTCTATTTCATATTTTCGAAGAAATACTCGAATCGCTATATTTGGCGAGAAATAAAAATTATCGATTTTATCGAAATGTCCGGACAATTTCGATGAGTCGTCAAAAATATTAGTTGGTTTATCGCGTATATAATTCCGAGAAAAACGCACGCTCCGCATATAAAAATATATATATTTAATCGCAATCGACATACAACTGGCGTGCGACAATAAAGGAGATAAATAAAAATAAACATGGCTCGCGCGCGTCCTTTGTTTCTCGCGCTCCCGATATAATCGGTTTAGTTTGTCTACAAATGACGAACTCGGGGGTGAGTGTTACCCCGAAATAGCCCCTAAATTGATTGAATGAATGGTTCCGCGGAGACGACACAATTTTAGTCGACGTCCCCCGGGTCGCTGTGCCGTGCCGTGCCGTGTCGGGTAAATAAAATGGTCAAATCAGAAAGACGGTCGAAGACGCCCAATCTCGCGCCTCGCGGAACAATAGCTGCAATAGATTGAAATTTTAATTAAATTTTCGCTTTCTCCCTCTTTTTCTAAATCGGTGAAAGAGCGATCGAGCTGCTTGGATTAAGTTAATAATTTTTAATACATATTTTTAAACATCCCCCGACGATCGTAACGTTATATCGTTTTTGTTTCGCGCGATCGCGTTTTATTGCTATATATTTTCGTTCTAGAAATAGAGAGAAGAGTAAAGAGAAAGATGAATGAGCACGTTTAAAGGCTGAAATGCGAAGGGGAACGAAACTCCGTCGCCGACCAACCCTTAATAACGCCTCAAACACGCGCTTAATCGGTTATGAATCATCAGCCCTTGAAAAGTCACGCGCAGCAGACAGGTGGATTCGAAAACGGACTCATCGATATTGCGCGATAAGGTGAATTCCAATTATCATCGACGTTATCGTGTCGTTATCGGCAAATTAAGGTTGCGCTTGCACGGCGAATAGATCGACACCTGCAAGATATCTGCCAATTTGATTGTCATATATTGCATCGGAATATCAATTGCGATTGAATCGCTTACGCAATATATTAAATTTCTAAGATGAAATATGAATATGAAATATATTTAATATTTGACATATGTGTATAAATGAGGCATAATGAATACTGAAAAGTATCGATAAGAATTTTAATATCGGCAGGATTTTCCGCAATACTTTGCAACATTTGGCAATAAAATACTTTTCTCCGGGAAGCAAATTATGTTTACGATACGTAAAGAAACGCTAATTGTAGTAAGCAATTACCGTCGGTATTATTTGTCATTCACATACACACACACACACACACTCGGCATATATTTCGCTAAGAATAATTATCGTAAAAGGATACTGCTGTAAACGTACCTTAACATGTGCGGTAGAACATCCGAAAAATGTAATGGTCGCATGAGCACTATGTATCACCTTACACCATCACTACGTTGGCATTGCCATCGCTTACGCAATATATTAAATTTCTAAGATGAAATATGAATATGAAATATATTTAATATTTGGCATATGTGTGTGTGTATAAATGAGGCATAATGAATACTGAAAAGTATCGATAAGAATTTTAATATCGGCAGGATTTTCCGGAATACTTTGCAACACACATTTGGCAATAAAATACTTTTCTCCGGGAAGCAAATTATGTTTACGATACGTAAAGAAACGCTAATTGTAGTAAGCAATTACCGTCGGTATTATTTGTCATTCACATACACACACACACACACACTCGGCATATATTTCGCTAAGAATAATTATCGTAAAAGGATACTGCTGTAAACGTACCTTAACATGTGCGGTAGAACATCCGAAAAATGTAATGGTCGCATGAGCACTATGTATCACCTTACACCATCACTACGTTGGCATTGCCATGAATGCATCATTGTAGTATACTATATCGGCAATTGGCGCGGAATCGCGCGAATCAGAATATCATCCATTAGTCGAAATATTGGGGGAAATGAACACGTTTCTAAACCATGATATCTCGTTTCTAGCACACTCTACTATAAGGATGATGTCGACTATCGTTCGATATGATTCGTGATAAAGGAACTATATAGAGAATTGATACTATACATTTTTACCGACACCTCTCTCGATACGTTACATTTCACATAGTGTCGAGTACTACTATAGACGCACCCTAACGTTTCTCTTCTTGAGCTTGGAGAGACCGCTTAGCATCCTTGGAAGGATGGATCCGAAAGAATGGATCGCCGCACTGCACATTAACGTTGGTCTAATCCGCGAGGGGTTTACTATAGCGAATCCTCTGGCGGGCTGCCGCGCAGAGAGCGCAAACATGACGAGAGCCTCGCGCGCCTAAAGCTCGGTAGCGCACGAGCCACCCCCCCCCCCCCCCCCCCCCAGCGCACGGCGCGGGC